AGTTCAAATCCTTTATAGTTAGAGAACTGCAACACTTTTGATTAGTACTATAGTGGAATTGTTTCTTAGCAAATAGTCAACAAGAAGCTTAAGATACTACCTCTTCAAGCAATGCCAAAAATCTTGCTTCATACAAGTGCAGGGTCTTGCACTCTGATGGAACTAGAACCTAATTATGAAACAAAATGAGAAATGAGGGTTAAAAAAAGCATCTCCATGTCATATCTTGGACTCAATGATAAAATAACGTAGTAAGGATAACTTTGAAATCCATACATTTACAAATAGTTAGCAAGCAAACGTATAAAAAAACCAAGAAAAGCTCAAGATTATGAACATTAAGCAACTTTGTACATTCAGATAGTGTACGAAAGGGTATACACGTATTAAGAGCATACAGTTTTGTCATCTTCTGACAGCTGTTTAGAAATGAAAACACTGTTGAGTAAATATTTGCACCTATTACATCCTGAGAATTACCAAGTCTAATAAGCTCTTGAGAGTCAGTCACNAAGTCACGAGCCATGATTAATTGGCCGAGTCCCATAAATCTTAAAGCTCGACCCGAGTGTGAGCATCCCCGATGTCCCACCCGAGTGTGAGCATCGCCGATGTCCCTAGGAGCCATAGTCCAAGACGAAAGGCATCTTCAAGCCGGGATCTACTAGAAGAACTCCAAGTCTGAGATGAAAGGCATCTTCTAGTCGGACTCTTGCTAAGAAATGTCTCGAATAACGACATGACCTATGCAAATGGGGTTTGATCAGCCGACTGCAAATGGGGTTTGATCAGCCGACTGCACCGACCCAATCAAATTACCAATGTGCTCTCTACCAACCCTCTACAAATAGTGGGCAATCTCCACTATCCTAAGGTACGCAAGAAACCCAGAAAAGACACCTCAAGTTTCAATCTTTTAAAAGTCAAGCGTCGCCAAGAAAAATCTATCGCTTAGTTACAGGCCAAAATTCAGCATGTCATTATGCTTGTAGGCTATAAACCCAATGAAACTTCCATGTTGTTATCATTTTCTAGCGAGTTCCGTCCGTTCCCAATTTTGATTACAGGCAACATTCAGTTTCAATGATTGAATAAGGGCTCAAATCACACGAAACCAGCACATAATTCTAACCCATAAATCCAAAATTTCCGGCACTAATTCCAAAGACCGCAGAGTTCAATAACGAGTGCAGATAAGAAATTCATCAAGAACTAAACTTAGCTGGACAAAAATCATTCCCTAAACGAGCCAGCTATCGACAACATAATCTACAACGACCGGGACAGCACGGTGATCGCAATCTGCTAGCGAATTAGGCCCGTGCCTTTTAATTTATAGAAAAGAAAAACACAATCGACCATAATTGATAGTGAAAGAATCAAACTTTCGCCAAAAAGAATTCACAAAAAACACCTCCTCGGATTGAAATGGGAGGAGCGGGAGATCCAAATGGCTCGAGGTCTGGCGCCATGAAGAGGAGCAGCTCCTGACGCTCAGGGACCGAGTGGAGCAGAGCAAGGAGCGTTCGATTTGGGAACGAGAGGTAGAGTTAGGGTTTTTGGATAAACAGCAGATTTGGGGACTAGAAAAGGCGAGGGTCAGGGCTCTGCAACTCATCCCTTTTTTTTTTTTTTTTTTTTTTTCCTTTTCCTTCTGCTGGTTTGTTCTTCAATGCTGTTATAATAAAAATGAAGCGGGAGATTTTTTTTTTCCCAAGGAATATTCTGCCTTTCCTGTGACGATTCACGATAGGTACGTTTTGACTTTCTGCGTCATGAATTAAAGGCGTGAATTTCGGAAAACCTACTCCTTTGCAGATTTTGCGCAAAAGCTCCTGAAGTTTATAAATCATATACAACCCCCCCCAACTTCCAAAATTATACTAAACATATTTTCTACATCATTAGAAAATCTAAGGATTGGCGTAAACTTGTAATACCTTTGAAACATGAGCCATCAAAATTCATACTAGAAATATTTAAATGAAGAACATTGTAGAAATCGGATCTTCTGAACAGACAATCATATAATATAATATTTTATGTGGTTCAGCAATATGTCTCTGTCTACGGTCGCACTAAAGATTTTTTTTATTTCTATATGATGAAGTTATAATTACAATAGGGAGTGCATACGTAATGTAGGGTTACGCGCTACATATAGAACTACTGACTCATGCTTCTACATAACACTAGTTTTTACACACGTGCAATGCACGTAATTTAATACCATGATTAAGTATTTTTGGCAGTTTGTGCTCATTTTTTCTTTAAACTCTTACATCCCGATTATTTTTTTTTATGTTTGTTTAAATGGGATACACCCAATTTAAATTTTCATGTTGATATTTGAATTGACAAAAAACAAATCTAATTTAAAAATAATTTGAATTTTCATATTATTTTTGACCGATATGAAACTAAGCTTTATTTGAGAAAGTATAGCATTGCAAAGTAAAAAATATTAAAATAGTATTATATAAGGAAGGTGAATATTTAAAACCAATATGGCAAAATGATTGATTTAAAGTATGTTAAAATGATGCAAAAGAGAATATGAAGTTTATTCCTAATCATTGATAGACTTCATAAAAAAATATAAATTAAAGATTAATACTAACTCTAGTATACTTTTATATGATAAAAACATCCACATAAGAATATAAAAGTACTGAAAAAAATTCATGAAACTCCCTTCTAAAGATTCCTAATTTCACTCAAAATAATTAAACTATCCTATAAAATATTGTTTTTTATTTCTTCTATTTTAATTTTTATTGAGTTAAGATCAATCCTTCTTCAGGTTTATCATTTATCATTTCTCGGGCAATTCTAGAGTATTGTCTTCATCATCTACATTAATTGTGACATCAGGCTAATTTTATATTTTTTTATGCTATTATTTTTCCTGGGCTCGTTAATTTTTTATCATCTCATTTAACTCTACAAAGAAGTCAAATGTACTTATGATGTTCAACACAAACTGCTCAAAATATAGACTTTGATTTTTTTTCTATTTCAATGAGAATAAATATTAAATAAATACCTGCATTATTCATTACTAATTTCTCTTAGATTATAATATTAATATTTAATTTGAAGAACACAGTATGGAATTTATGAATACTTACTAATTTTTCTTATGTCTTCCATGGAGATTTTTTCTTTGATTAGGATAAAGTTATTAAATTATTTTTTAATGTAACTCATTCAGTGCTTCATTAATAGATATGTCTTATGTTAATGCCAATTCAAGTGATTCATTGACGTTTTCTGAATTTTAGATTTATTTCCATCACTTTCCCATTTGCAATGGAAATAACTCAATTCTTTTAAAGTTATCTCTAAATATTCTAATAGTTTCTCCATATGTAATTCCTTGTATTCTTTTACCCTATAAATATTATTAACGTCAAAGATTAAAGTTTCTAAATTAAAATCAATTAATGCTAAGGTATAATATTATAGTGTTTTATCATTTCTATGGATTTAAACATCTATCAATTAATGTTACGAATGTATTTTGGCTACCCCAACTTATTACTAAAATTATATGAAATTACTTTAATTTATATAGTGCCGATAATTTTTAATCTATAATATTTTTAAAAATTTTATCCATTAACCGGATGTTTTTAATCAATTCTTATTGTTTTTGTTTACCAGTATCAACTTAGACTATTCTTAGATGCTGAAAATGGATAGTAAATCCCTAAATTAGAAATTTTAATATATATATATATGAAAAATACCAAACAATTACACTTTTCTTTGCCAAGTTTTAAAATTTTAGCCCATTTTTGTGGTTTTGAACTTTGAGGGTGTGATTTATAATTTTTAAAATTTTGAAAGAGTTTTTAAAAAAATTTATTTTTAAGTTTGGTAGTTGTAAATTCTATGTTTCATGTGTTGGTGGTAATTTTTTAAATGTTAGTATATTTCTTGTAACTCTAAAATTTTAAGGGTGTCTTTTACAATTATTAAAACTAAAGATTAATTTTGAAAAATATTAAATTTTAGCGGTCTACCAATCGACGAATTTGATATGTGCTAGTTAAAATTTTGAAAATTTAGAGGTTTTTTTTACGATTTTTAAATTTTGAAGGAGTTTTTAAAAAATTTTGAGGTTAATTTCGGCAAATTTTAAATTTTTAGGTGTCTAAGGGTAATATCTTGAATTCATCTTATGTTATTTACAAATTTTAGATCTAAGGGTAATATCTTGAATTCATCTTATGTTATTTACAAATTTTAGAATTTTAGGGTGGTTTTTTATAATTTGAACTTTTAAAGGTGTTTCTATAATTTTTGAGATATTAAGGGTGTTAATTAAAAAATTTAAATTTAAATGTCAAAAATTTTAGATGTATCATGGTAATCTGTTGAATTCATTTGTGTTGTTTGTAAGTTTTAAAATTTTAAAATTTTAATGTGCTTGTCTGTAATTTAAACTTTTGAGGGTGTTTCTATAATTTTTGAGACATTGAGGTGTTAACTGTAAATTTTAAATTCTTTGCAAACTGATGTTAATTTTTTAATTTTATGTTTTTTATTTTAAGTTTTGAGACATTGAGATGATTTTTATAATTTTAAATTTTTCAGGGTCTTTTCTGTAATTTTAAAACTTTTTATGGTTTTTTTGTAATACTTCATGTATTATAATATGTTATCTACTTGTAATTTCTTTATCTTAACAAACTAATATCATTTTTATGTTTTATATATTTTATTAATATTAGTTTTTTTAAATTATTAAGCTAAACATGGTTCACATAGGATTAGGATAAGATATGATTATGATTAGGATAGATTAAGATATAAATAAAATATTCAAAATAATGAAGGGTAATATTAACTATTGAAAATTAGAATTTGATTATAGATAAGGTAGTTCAAACTATAAATGGGTATATTTGTCTAAAAAAGATTTTTCGAACTCGTGCTTTTAAAGAGAGTATGATATAAGAATCAGAAGTTTTTTTTCACGATACAAGTAGTCTCCACTGGTCGAACAAAGCATTCAAGTAGGAGAACTAGAAAAACAGCCAAATCTTACGGTAGACATTGATTTCATTGATGAGATTATTGTTTGGTAGGTTGTTATCCTTTCATGCGTACATTTTTTATCAGAACGTCACGCAGCTGCACAAATGATGGGGGGTACTACTGGTATTTTACTGCCCTCGTATATGGATGAGATTAACCCCTTGCTTGGAGTATTTTGATGAGAAACGTAATCTCGAATATGGTGATCGATCGTTATAATATTCGCTTGACGTATAAGGAACAAACAAGATTCCCATGTGATTGTCGACTTAATTATTAGGGCTTCTACGGCAAGTCTAAATCACTTACCTTTTGCACGTATTGCTTTGCCTCACATAATCACATTCTTCGTTGCACCTCCTTTTTCATTGTCTATCGGTATGTTTTCTAGTTGCAAATCAATATCAGTACTTCTCAATAGGCTATGGTTCTCTCTGTCTACTTTTTCAGGAATCAGTTATCAATTCACAAGAGGTGTCAGGCACCGAAACCAGCAGCCCATGTTTTTGACCAAAAGCAAAAGAATGGGCCCCACTTTTGAAAAATGCACTGGGTTAGGCACCGAGTTTGGAAATTTCAAAAGATGCACAGTGTAATATTAATATTTTATCATGCATAGTGTTTCTTCCTAACACTATAAATAGGCTCCAAATTTTTAAAGAAAAACTCATTCCAGAAACAACTTCCCTTATAGAATAGTGAGAGAGAAAAAATAGAGAGAGAGAGAGAGAGTATCTCCTTGTAAAGAGATATCGTAACTCCAGAGTTTTCTTCTCATAGTGGATTCTTCTATCCTTGCCCGTGGACGTAGGCAATCAAGTGCCGAACCATGTAAATCTGTGTGTCTAACTTTTTATCTTTACTTTTGCTCTACTATTGCTGCGATCCTGTTCTATTAGGCCTCGGGTTTGTCCCAACAAGAGGGGGGGGGGGGGGGGGGGGGGGGGTGGCCGCCGCGCGCAGAGAGAGGGGGAGGGGGGGCGGGGGGGGGGAGGGGGAAAGAGGGGGGAGGGGGGGGGGGGGGTTATTCTGTTATTATTCGAAGAATTGAATGCCAACTTAGTGATGCAAGTAAACGAGGCGAGAGGTGATATAAGGGTTAAAAAAATTGTTGGAATTTACTTTTCTTAAATTGTGTCACGTTATTTTCATTTTTCATAGGTAGCTACAAATACATTGTTGACTAGCTAGGCTAGACCCCTAGTATCCTAAAAATTTTGCTAGCACTTAAACGCAATTTTTGGTATTACTAGAGCTTATGACAAGTTGCTTATATACGCATCTTATAGAAGCAAATTATATAAACTGTTACTAATAGTCATTTGGTAATTATGTGACATAAAAAGCAATAATGTGTTGGTAAAACTGTGTTTAAAGGTTATTATAAATGAAAATTACAAAAATAAACATAACTTTAACTATCAAAATAGTCAAGATTATTTAGGTCAAATAACGTAGTAAAGTCACAAGCAAGAGGACATATTACGATATAAAAATTACAAAAAATTTGAATGGGCTTCAAAAGCATCCTAAGGTTACTTCTAACATCACCTTCTTAAAAGCGGAAACATTATAAATGAGCATGCAAAACAAATTTTTACCAAACAATATTTTTTTTCTTCCAAGAAGCGGTTAATACCATTGTTTGGTGATGTCAATGTTTCTCAGAATATCTATCTTGAGACTTTTTCGGTGAACATGCATCCCTATATAGTCCATGTAACCTCATTTGGACATCCGGGAAGCCGAGCACTAAGGGGGTGTTTGATTGCACAATTTTATAGAAAAGTTTTCTTAAAATGTCTGGCAATGGTAATTTTGTAATTAAAAATTTTCTGTAGATTTCTGTAAATTGTGTTTGGTTTAAAAAAAATTACAAAAATATTTTCTGTAAAGTATAAAAAAATACCAAAATTTACAGAAATCAATTTCCTCTCAAAATAGGCGGAAATCACCAAGAAATATGATACCACATTGATACTTTTCTATAAATTTAGGGGGTGTTTGGTTCAATTTTGGCAAATTATAGGAAATCTTGTTATTTTCTATAAAGTTATGAGTCATTTTTTTGTTTTAAGCCAAACAAGCAAAGTACAAAAAATAAGAAAATTGGTACTTTTTGACTTCTCAAAAATTTTCTTATAATTTTTTAAAGAAATATAAGTAAATCATATTTTAGATGGAAAACATTTTCTATAATTTGTAAAAATTGAACAAAACAAGCATCAAGGTACTTGCAGTAAAGATTTCCTAACAAAACGTCGATCGAAAGAACTTTTCTCCTCTCTCAATCTGCGCGCGAGCGGCCAGGTGCATGCAAAACTCTCGACTAGTACAAACTGGCAATGTACGGACTACAGAACACCTGCACCTCCGCCAGGCTAGCTCTCCCTTCGTCCCGAAAACAACGACCCCTTCCGTCCTCCCCTCTTCGCGGTACGAACAGCCCAGCCGTCGACTTCGCCCTGGCCGGAGATCTCCGACAGCGCCCGACACTCGTTGTTCCGGTCCGCACGCCGAACACCCCATGACCGGCGCCGCAGGGCGGGACCGTCAGAGCACCCCGTCCGCTCCGAACTGCGGCCCGCACCCTCGCGTAGTCGAACACGCGGCCCCGCGCCGCCGACCCTTTGCGGGAGGATTACTGGGGAAGTTGCGTCGTCCGTCGCCGGGGTTCGGGCTCGGCAGGTAGAAGAGGAAGGGCGCCTCGAAGGTGTCGTAAGTAGTCGTACGGTGCTGCGGTAGCCTTCGGGTTTGAAGGCCCGAAATTGAATGGAGGCGGTCGTGCGTAGCCGGATGATGACGCAGGGGCCTTTGGGAAGTCGGAGCAGGCGGGCCGTGAGTCCGGTGACGGACTCGTGAAGCCTGTCCGGGTGGCTCTGTAGCAGCATTTCAGTTCTCGGCCTGCCGATTGTCTAACAACTATGTAAAACTAATTATGGTAATTTAATGTTTTTATCGTAAAATTCATGATAGTTTTGTAAAACATAAATAAAAGTTCGCAATGTGCAAGCCGTGGATGGTTTTCCAAATATTTGTAGGTTGTAGTAATTTTTTGGTGATTTAATAGTTTAAGTTTTTTCTTCTAAATAACTAGTGTGCGTTCCGTACGCACGGCATTCCCTTTTTTTTTATCACTACAGTAATCCCATTTTTTAATTGCTATAATTTTTAATGCTACAGTACTTTTTAAAGATGCTACAGTATCACACCTCTGCTACAGTAATATATTTTAGAATGCTACGGTAATGTTTTTGTTATTGTTGCAGTGTCCCGCCTATGAAGTAATAATTCTTTGGAAATGTTACGGTAATAAATGCTACAGTAAATTTCTGTAGCATTTACTGTAGCGTGAATAGTGATTCTTGGATCCTCCTATTATTATAGAGGGGTAGAAGTGATTTTATCCTATTTTGCGCAAAGTCCTTACAATTCATGGTGATATTGTGAATTTTATCATATCCAATGCGGTAGAAAATGATGAAACCCAACAGATCAGAGAAGTCGGAGAGGATGAAATCATAAATTCCGTCTCCGAAAATCAAATTGAATTATAAAAATCTCAATCTTTAATTATAAGCTCGAACACCCGACGACAGTGAGCATTTGCTTACCTCTTAGATGTGTGTTTGCTACTAAAGACTGAGGGAACGGTAAATCGATGTCATGGTATTTCTGTGTCGGCTTCTGCTCTGCTGCTCTTCTCCCTTTGCCCCAATCAAAGAGATTAATGGGGGTCCTCTTCCTTAATGGAACGCTGCACTTTGGTATACAAGCCATGAAAATGGGGGAAATGGAAGACAAATGAACGGAAAGATCTCTTATTCTCTAAAGCTGTTTACGTACACATACTTCTTATCCTTGGACTTGCATGTCGCCTTTGATTTTTGTAGAGGTTTTGGGCCCAGAAATTCTTATGATATGGATTCCGATTCTCTCCGCTACAAAAAAAATAGTGGAGTGACAACTACATATAATCTCAGCTATTGATAATCCATTGGGTGGCTATGATTTTCTCTTTGAAAGTAAATTAGAAGTGAGTGCAATACAGAAGATACGGTAAGTGTTAGATTTAGATTAATTATATCATAACCGCTCACTAGAGAATTAACGGTTAGGATTAAAAGTAGTGGTCTTTTCACTACCTTTTTGTGGTGGAGATGACCCAAATTCTATGTGGAGCGCCATAATTCTTCAACCCTCCAACGCAAAATATCACAATGAGGAAGAATTTACGCACAATTAGTAGGTCACCTTCAGCTAAAATAGCATTTATACGTCTTAAAGTTTACACAACCTTGCAAGTTATTATATATCCATTCTTTTCTTTGCTGCGCTTCAATATCCTTAGTTTGTCAAAATATTTATGTCTTTTAGACCATTTTTTAATAGTACAGATACTAGTCGGACTCACCTTAATTTTATTCTCATGTTTATTTTTTATCCCGTCAAAACTATTTTAAGGAGTGACTATGTAATTCCTATAGGCCCTGTTTGGCAAAGGCTTAAGGAAGAGGGGTTAAAAAGAAGAATTAATGTACTTAGTTTATTTGATAATCTGAATGACTAAATTATTAACCCGTTAAATAAGTTTTATTTAGTCCTTATGATCAGTTTTAGTGTTTGGGAATAACAATGATTTTGACTATTTTCTTTATAATTAGAAGCGTTAAATCTTAATCCTTCTAAATAGGAGTATTAGTAAACCCCTCATTTTGAGGGATTAACTCATTTTAATTCATCTAGAGGTGTTAGCTTAACTCTTCTATATTTTTTGATGTTTGGCAAATTATGGAGGGTTAACTCACTTTAACCTTTGTATAGATTTTTTGTGTTTGACGGGTTAAGAAGGGATTAAGTCTCCTTAACCCATCACTTAACCATTTGCCAAACGGTACCATAAAGTACTATGTTAAACCCACTCTATCCTCGCTTTCACAATCCTTTACAATCCAGCTACTAATCATGTGAGGGATTAAAATTTTGAGAAAAATTTGGCCCGTGCTCTTGGGTTTTTCCCGCAAAGATTTTTTTTTTTTCCGTTCGGATTTTTCTTCCGTAGTTCTCTTTTCCATGACCATCTAAAAAAATGCACTATATTTTTTTTGCAAAATCGTTTCTTTGCATGAAGGTCAAATAAATGCACTATATTTTTCATCATTTAGAAAAGATTTTTTGCTAGTGCTCTTCCATTTTCACGGGCAGAAGAAACAAACAACCCAATAAAGAAGCACAAATATGTAGGTCAAATAAAGTATGCATGAAGGTCTTCATGTGCTAAATCTAAATGATGGTCTTTGTACGTATTCTCTTTCTTAGTGTTGAAAATGCAAGGCCCTACAAGTGATTTACAATATCAATGAATAAGAAGGCATATATAAAGGAAAGGCACCATGACCGCTCTAAATTCACAAAGAACCATAGTGATTCAACTCGATAGAAAAAGAAAATGGGACAAATACGTCACCGGTTAAAACTAATTATATGCATGCCATGGTTGATCCAGAAAATATTTCTCTGGGGTGAACAACAAGTATCTATTTATCTAAAAATAAAAGATAATATTATAAAATAATTGTATCCGACAAGAATGCTCTCGAGAGTCTATATATTTCTATCAATTCTATTGCATCATATTTTACGTGTAATGCGATATATAAACAAAAGTGAGTATTTTTTTATTTATAATTTTCTTCCATTTATGAAATCAAAAGATATATATACAGCTTACTTGCTAATTAAAATATACTACAAAATCAAATCAAATTCATAAAAAAAATATTTGGTACATATATACTACATAATTAATAAAAGATTGTCTTCAAAATATATATCAAAGAAAATATAAAGCATTTAGACAATTGGTTGGAGGTTCGCCGGTGGCAGGTTCGAGCGAGAGCTCTCTTAGATTTAGGGTTGGGCGGAGCTCAATTTAGTGTTAGTGGTAATTTTAGGTCTCTTTCGAGCTTTGGGGTTAGGAGGAGGGGGTGGGAGGGGGAATATGTTATTGGGTTCGGATTTTAGTTATTAGTTTTGGGTTTTGAGCGGGTTTTTTTTGTTTGGATCTCTATTTTTTTATTTTACTTTGGGCTTTTTGTCCTGGGGCCTACTTATTGTTTGAATGGAAATTCCAATGGGCTTTCATAAGTATGTTTTAATTTGGGCTAGGGTGCAATTTGTAAAAACTTATGGGGGTGCAAACTAAAAATATTAGACTGAGTCTAACACAATTTTGAAAAACTTAAGGGTACAACTGCGGCCCTGGGGCAAACATAGATCCGCCCCTGCAGCATGTAAAACATAGAATTTTGAGGATTAATATGAACTTATATCTAAGGGGGAAAGTTATGCATTTCAGATATTATTAGACGGCTTAAATTTGAATTTGTTGTCGAGTGTTCAGTTATTTGCGAAACATGTACATAAATATACAATATTAGTTGATCGGAGGGCAAAAAAATCATTTTGCTTATAATATTAGTCTCCGTGATCATAATCTCCTTAAAAAAACAAACATTGTTATGTGCTATTTTAAATTAGTCTAAATGTTAGTTTGAGTAAAAAACAAACATTGAGCTGGACCGTAATAGTTCTAGGATAACACAATCTCAGGATTATAGTCCGAGTGTTATAATACCTCCCAATCCGATAATAAGAAACAAAATGTGTCCCTAATAGCTAATAGATGGAATATCTCCAAAATATCCTCATAGGACTACAAGTGTTAGTGAATTGCTCCTCTGAAGTTTGATGAAATAAATAATAATCACCATCTCTCTCATGTATTTAAAGTTTATTATGGGTAACTTAACAGAGTATCTTGAATATCATTTCAAATAATTTATATTCTTTACAACGAAAATATTGTTTGGCACAGGTACTAATTTGCAGTGTATTGAATTTGTGAGAGGAAAATGATTTGAAGAACTAAAATCTAAATGCTTAAGAATTAAGGGACCGACATGTAAATTAACACTTGCAAAAAACGCCTCTATCCTCTCTCTCTCTAAAACCCCCAAAACCCTAATCCCATTAGTGACGCAGAGAAAGCGATGCCTTCTAAGGGGAAGAAATCATCGAAACCCGATCGATCTCCGATCTCTCGAGCTCCATCAACTCCCACTTCCGCTCGCGGACCGGAATCCGAGAACGACGATGAACTCCACTTACAGAGACTACTCTCGCAAGCTTCAGCCAAGTTCCCAAACTTCATCAACGAATCCGCTTTCATCGGAAGAATCTGCGACCAGGATTCTGATTTTTCAAAGGGGAATCAGGCTAGGGTTTGGCTATCGGAATCCGCCATGGTGTCGTTCTCCATATCCCCTGGATCGCTGGTCTCGGTAATTCATTGGTCCTGCACTGCGATTAATGATGAAAAGCTTAAATTTTTAGTTTCTGTTGTTAATTGAGAGTGTAAACTATCCTGCTAAGATGATATTTGCTGCATTGGAGTAAAGGCTATACTTTTAATGCAGTTCATTTCCAAAATCATTCTTAAACCCAAAATACCTGCAAGCGAATTTATTTTTAAACCCATTTTATGCTACATTGATGTCTAAGTTGGTATAATTGGTGTATCAGTAATTGTGTTTGGCTCTGAATTGCTATATTTGATGTATCAGTTGCTGCATTTGGGTTTAAAATGCTATAATTGGGTTTGAAAATAATTCAATATGGGTATTATGAGTTTAAGAATGATTTTGGAAGTGGGTGGGTTTAAAAATAAATCAGGTTGAAGTTTGAGTTTATAAACAGAAAAATCTATATTTTCACAGTTTTTCTTTGTTAGTTCAAGTAACATTTGATTGTAATCTTAACACAAGGTAACATTTAGCTGAATGAAAGTTCAATCTATGATAAACTAACATGATGAAGATGAAATAATTTTTACACTGATGAAAAACAGTATAGTTCAGTTGAAGTTGAATCAGGTGAATTAAACTAATTAGTTAAACTAATCGTCTTCTCCGGTTTTCTATGGATGCATTTTGAAATGTATTTTTATTAACTAACCCCTTATTCTGAATTCTATTTGGCAATGAAAACAGAAGAAAACATTGACTGATTGACTAAACCGCTTAAGTTGCAAATGACAAAAGGAATGTTTGTTTATTTGTTTTTTGTTTTGTTTTTGTTTTTTTTGTTTCGTGTGTGTGATAAAGGATGGAGACTTAAAACGATCGAGTCCCCAGCTGTCTCACATTACCCCAAAATTGGATCGGTTACAAAGTTAACCAGGCCCCCCCACGCCCCAGCCCACCCCCACTGCGTGCGAACAATCCTAGGTGTAACCTGCCCAGTATTACAAAAGAGTTAACATCATACTACAATCATTCAAACACCAGAACATATATACAACCCAACACAAAGGTCAACTGAAACAAAGTTTTATGAGTTATGTCATCGCATGACAGTTTAACCAAGAGTAGCTGAATCAACAGCCACTGAAACACTGTTTGCATCACTTAACAGAGCCCTCCAAAGCTCCACCAGCATCAGGATCCCCAGCTCCGCTTGTGGGTAGCTTCAAAACTCCTCCCAGCAGTAGTTCCAGCAGCTCCACCCTCCTAGTAGCGGCAAAAAAGTATTCCTTTCTCCGTGTCCTGAGTGAGTAATCCAAAAAGTTGCAAATTGAATTATTTGTTTGCATAAATCCAAAGAATTTGGTGTTTGTGTGTGAAGACATTATTTCTTTCTCTCCATACAACCCAAATCAGGGCACAGAAACATGAACTTGACTGTTGTTTCTCTTCTCCCTTCAATTTCTCGTTCCTTGCTTCCTCCAATCCACCCATATTCTAAAAAGAGATTCAGGATAACACGCAACATGAAATCTATATCCTAAAGAACACCACAAAACTTTCACAATGTCACAATCAAGGAAGATGTTCATGTGATTCTTCCTCCTTTCCACACAGTATGCATAAAGGATCAGTAGGAATCCCTTTTCTTAAGAACCTATCCTTAGTATTCGATTTCCCAAGAAGGGCAAACCAACATGTAATTCTAACTTTCAAAGGAGCAACTGCTTGCCAAATATCAGCATAAGGGACTTTTATACCACCATCACAGAGAAGATCATAATAAGATTTTGTTCAAAAAACTTCTTTTACCTCCCATCTCCATTTCCTTTTGTCTTTACCAGGGAAAAAGGAAACTTCATTAAGAATAACTAATAACTTCAAATATCTAACAACCAAACCCCCGTAAGCTGCCTAATAAAATGGATATTCCATCTCCAACCATATTCATACATCAATAGTTGGGACTTAACAGAAGCAAGGGGGAGGAATGAAATTGTTCAATTCGGTTGGTTTGATTTTTTAATGTTAAACCATTTAAACCAATATGTATCTTGTATATTTGGCACTGAAAATCGGCTTTACATGATCACCTATTGGGTAAGAGGTTTTCTTACAAACTAATTTAAGTCTATCAGGTTGAACCTAATGGTTTCTATGCAATATCACAATTTCAATCTTTTTTAGCATACTGATTAATTATATTTATGCTCCTGCTCATTCATATGAGTCTATGCAACATTCTTGGTGTTAAAGAAAATTTATGAAAGTTCCTTTTAAGTATTGTACACTATAGGAATTTATTCTTCATGCAATCAGCTTGGTCATGTTGGGGCTCCCAACATAACGTTATATCATAAACTCGTGTGATGAATTGACTGCATGGTAACTAATAAAATTTTTGTTTTTTTCCTTTAATTTTCTTCATATGGACATTTTTAACAGGTAGCACTGCCTGCATCAGGCAAGAAATCATTGAGTAACTGCCCACTTGACAGTTTAGCGGAGGAGTGTGCTAGACATCTGGGTGTTGATGATGGTGATGACAACCTTAGCGGAGGAGCTGGTAATTACTTTGCAATTGCAACTGTTTTCCCTTCTCGTAAGGTATCCATGTTTTAGCATTCACCTTTTCTCTTAACTAATTTCTTCCTAATCATTTGGTTCAAGATTTCATCCCCAATCCCTCCCCCCCAGCACCCCCCCTCCCCCCCCCAAAAAAAAAAAAAAAACAAACAAAAAACAACAACTATTTACAATCATTTATTTTCCTATCAAATCATGTGCCTTGCAGGTTCTCAAAAATGGTGTAAAGATTTGCATGGCCCTTTCATGCACTAATGGCCATCTCTGCCTGCAGGAAAATCCGATTTTTCTTTTCTTTGAGAAGTTCTGACAAGTTGAACAAGAAAGCTAATAATACTCACATCTACCTTCACAAATGCAAGGACCTTCATCTAAGTCTTGTTCTTCCCAGGGTTGTTTCGGATACTAGCAACAAGGGGTTATCAATCAATGGCACTTTACTTGAATCTGCCAGGGTCATAAGTGAAAAGGGAGTTGATCTGTCTCCAAAGACACCGATACCTCAACCAAAGCTTTCTTCTCCTGGCGCTACACCTGTCCATTCTAGGAAACCCCATGATTCTATAGCAAGGAATGGTTCTTCAATATCCTCAGATGTATCTTCTGTGAGGCTGGCATTGGCAGATGAAAAGGCTAATAAATTGCTACAAGCATCTGTAGCTAGGTGGCTGTATGGCCGTTATTTGCTCTGTGGGAATATTGTAACTGTTCCACTAATACTCGGACATATTTGTGCATTCCTAGTTGAAAGCGGTGATAATTTCTTGACTGACTGCAACAATCAAGATTTGATGCATGAAGAGAATCAGGATTTGTTATCTCGTGAAATGCAAGTCTGTACCTCTTGGGAGAAATCTGGTGTTGCTTTTTTGTTGGACACTAAAATGAATATTCTTCTTTCTGACCCCATGTCTTTAGTTAGGGAAAACTCAAGTAAGAGAGGTGTATTAAAAGAGGATCTTACTTGTAAAACAACTAGTGATACAGAAGCTTTTGATCGACCAAAATTAGGTGGACTATCCAAAGAATTTGCAGCTTTAAAGGAGATCATCATGTTCTCATTGGCGAACAAGGGCCACTTGCCAAGGTACCCAGACATTTTTTGTGTCGTCTGTCTCGATCATTTCTTATAAGATACCACAGCTTTCCAAGTTTTATTTACTCTCTTGTTCCTTTCCCTTATTACTCCCCTTTCCAATTTAATGTTCTAAGTTGATAAAATGAAATAAAAATGAGACATTTCAGAGGACACTGTTAGTGAGTAATATATTTTCTTAGACATATTATTTACTATAATTAATCTATTATAGTATATGAAGGTAGTACTATCTCTCGCTTTTAGGAAATATTGGAACTCACCAGTTTACACTTTCAGCAGTAGCTAGTTTGATAAGTCCTTCCATACAAAATTGGTGTACCTTCAGAAATCATGTTGGATATGATTGTGTGCTCAACCTTTCTTTATCCTCTGGCATGCCTTGTAAGTTTGTATGCCTATTTATGCAAACGAAGAATGTGATTGGATTTGCTCACCCAAGAAAAATGTGTTGGAAGTTAGGATTTGGCCATTGTTATTCATTTATTACACTTTCATTGTATGTCTAATAAAATATTTCCTCTTTTCAGATATTTTATTCAAAAGTTTGTTACTTAACAGGTACATAATTTCAGCACTGCTATTAATTAGGTTTATTTTGTTTTTTACATTGTACTTCAGATACAAAGGGGTGCTTCTGCATGGTCCACCTGGAACAGGGAAAACATCTTTAGCTGCTGCTTGTGCTCATGATGCTGGTGTGAGCCTGTTCTCTATCAATGGACCTGAAATTATTAGTCAATATTATGGAGAAAGTGAGCAAGCATTGCATGAGGTGTTTGAGTCAGCAAGACGAGCTGCGCCTGCTGTGGTTAGAATCTTTTGTCATTACCTATCTCAAAATATCTTTTGTTTTCGTCTGATTCCTGGACTCTTGAAAATTAGATAGTTTATCATTTTTTTAATCTGATTAGGTCGTCTAGCATATAAGCTGTAAAGGAAAATTTTATCTAATTGATCCAATTGAATATTTGTCAAATGACATGTGCAGATCTGCAGTAGTTATTCCTCGTCAAATAGACTTCACTTTGAAAGTAGTTTTTGGGCTGTATTCATAAAGTCTGAGGTTCTTAATTTTATCACTTTGATGTAATTTCTCTGGTATTTCGTTGATGATTTGAATTTTTTTGGGAAAAATCAGCTAAATTAGCACAAGTTTAGAGTGTAACCACAGACATATGTGGATTTAACAAACATCAACTTAATTAACTGTTCTTAATGACCTGCCACTACACCAAAACTTCAAAGTTGTGGTAAGGGTGGAGAGTTATAATTTTAATATTCCAACATGCCCCGATAGGTTGAGGGCTTTCTTATGAGCTGAAAGCTGAACTCACGGAGCCATATCATATTTTTAATCCGCTTTAGAAATTCGTGCAATGGGAGCCAAACCTGAGATGCTCTGATACCATCTTAAAGATCTGCCTCTACACTAAAACTATAATTGTGGTGAGGGTAGTGGGTTATAATTTTAATATTCTAACATGCCCCCACATGTTGAGCCGAAAACTAAACTTGTGGAGCAGTATCATTTTTAACCCGTTTTAGAAATTTGTGGCCAGTAGGAACCGACCTTGGGTTGCTCTGATACCATCTTAAAGACCTGTCTTAAAGACCTGCCTCTACACTAAAATTCTGAGGTTGTCGTGAGGGTTAAGGATTATAAGTGTAATATTCTAATTGTCAAGGGAAGACAATTAGAAAAAAAACCCTATGGAACATGACCCTACAGTTCGATGCTTTATTATCAAATGATTCAAGTGGTATCACACTACCAGCTCAACCTGTTCCTATATCCGGTGATGGGGGAACCAACTTGTTTTTTGTCTGTATGAAGGATGTCTTCAACAGCCTCTCCAATAGTACTGAAGGATCGTTACTAGAAATTGGTGCTATGTTTGGTTTTGGCTATTGATTTCATTGTTTCTTTTAGGTTTCCAGCGTTACCATATATTGCTTTGACATTTTGGTATTAGATTTCTACAAGTCTTTGGTCTGAATGTATGTTTCACATTGTTCGAAGCTACTAGACGAATTTACACTGATGTGAGTGATGACTGAATTGTCATGTAGAACTTACCAGATAGGTTTCATTGAAAGCCTTTTATTCAGAGAGAATACCCCCAAGGCCAAGGTGACGGTCTCATAGGAAAGCGTAAGAAAAACGTTCCATTCATTTCTTTTTTTTCTTCTAGTGTTGCTGGCTATCCTTTTGTTTTTCCAGCTAACTGACTCATGGATGCTTGATCTTTGTCATGTCTGATTTGTCTTGGAGTATTATATAATATACTGGAAAACTGATTTTTTTGGTTCTTCTGGCATTAAATGCTAATAGTTTTATGGTTTCCAGGTTTTCATTGATGAATTGGATGCCATTGCTCCGACCCGAAAAGATGCTGGTGAAGAGTTATCTCTTAGAATGGTTGCAACATTGTTGAAGTTGATGGATGAGATAAAAAGAGATGAGAACATACTTGTAATTGCTGCTACAAATCGACCAGATAGTATTGACCCTGCCATGAGACGACCTGGAAGACTGGATCGAGAGCTCGAAATAGGTATTGTTGTCTATTCCTTTCGTATCTGATTCATGTAAGCACCATATTCAAGTTCATCTATTTATGTTTGCATATAATACTATAGTTCTGGAAGATATTTGTAGTCACTTACAAAAGTTTTAATCTGTTTACATACTAAATAGCTAGATGCAAGTAGATGTCAATTAATATGTTGTTTTGCTACAAGCCTACGATTTTCTTCAAATTTGTAATAGTGAATTTGGAAACTGAGAATTGACTGCTGGAAACTGGTTAATGCTATATATGACTTGTATGATTGTAAATGTCCTGATATGCCTTCATATAAAGCAATGACGCCTAGATATCCTTTTTGTTTCATTTGAAACCACATATTCCTATATGCTAAAATGCTAGATTCCTTCTTTTCCCCATTTCCGGCTGAAGATATATCGAAAGATCGAAACTCCTTTTTGAATCCCAATATGAAGCTCTTAAGATCACATTTGCTCCTGTATTGTTAATGTATGCCTGTAGTATTACATGAATGACCTGGGTTTTGACATCAGTGGCATTTGAAAGAATTAGACAGCTTTTTTATTATGTACAACATGCTTCTTTCCTTTACAGATCCTATTTCAACTGGAAAGATAAAGGGGTTTATCCATGATTGTAGATTTTTTTTCCAGTTTCATATGGTACTAAAACAGAATTAACTCTCACAGTCACCAGATTTTGGTATGCTTGGTCTTTAAATTTGTGTTTCCTCTGTAGTCTGTATCAACAGATTCAGGAAGATTATATATAAATAATGAGCCAGACCTAACATGTCTGCTTGAGGGTTTTTCTCTGATACGCTTTCTTATGCTTCTGTTTTTGGTTATGAGGTTTCTTTTTCTAAAGTTTATTGCATATTTCTTCCTGACAGTTAGTTCCATACTAATTTAGTTTCCAGAGAGTTAAATTTTGTAGGCTTTATAATCTTAGAAATTTAAAACAGGAACAAATATTTTGTATTTGACAAGTTGGTTCAGAGAAATATAAGATAAATTTCAGTAGTAGAATTGAGAATAATATTAGTTTAAAAATTTTCAATATTCTACTGGTGGTTATTATATGAAACCACATGGGACACTTAATTAGAAGAGTTAAGAAAAGTCTTAGGAAAAAGTTCTGCTAAAAAATCGGACTTCAGTAGTAAACTTCTACATTTTTTATTTTTCGATGATTGCATGCTGCATCTTGCAACTTTAACTTCAAGTTTTTGTGGACTCTATGAGCAAGGACTTCTGCCTATTAGGTTTTTGAATAGAAGAATGACAAGAGTCACTTTAATACATAGTACCCAATAAACTATTTTGCTTATAGTCCGTTCCTGGAGTTACTTGTAGGAGTGCCATCTCCCGAACAGAGATTGGATATACTTCACACCCTCCTCCGTGGAATTGATCACTCAATTAGCAACGTAGAAGTCCAGGCTCTGGCTGCAGAAACACATGGGTTTGTGGGTGCTGATTTAGCTGCTCTTTGCAATGAAGCTGCACTGACAAGTCTTCGCCGCCATATTAAGTTCACAAATTCTGCCCGGCATTTTAAGGATCCATGTTCGAGACCTAACGGACTTGGTCCTAATATGCAAGCTTCTGAACTCCACAGAAAAGTGGATGGGCTATCTGTTGATGTTATCGATTCTTTGTCATCATCACTGTCAGAATTGAATGTGACAGCGGTACCTATCTCTCCTATTAGTTCTCATGGTGAAAGTGGTGATGCTTCTATTGATGAGGTTAACAGAACTAAAGCAATGAAAGAGGAGACATCATTGAAAGTGACTGCAGACGATTTTTCAAAAGCTAAAATGAAAGTGAGACCCAGTGCTATGCGAGAGGTACTGCATTTTTCATCTTACCTCTTTTGAATGTACGGGCTAGATTCCGTGACACCAGAGCTAGCATGTTGCACTTGTCACTTATTGCTGACTTTTTCAAGAACCTCATGCCATTACTTCTGGAATCTAATTAATCTACTTGTATGGTCTGTTTGTTGGCTGTTGACTTAGCATATAATTGCTATCCATATTTTCTTGCTAATGGCACTACTTGTGTATCTTGGCCTATTATCCTGCATCACCTGTATTATGATGTGAAACTTTTTTTTTTGTTATTATTAACTTCCATATGATTTCAGTTTACTGGTAGCTTGATTTACTGCATTTCTTTTTCTTATTATCCAGGTTATGTTAGAGCTTCCAAAAGTACGTTGGGAAGATGTTGGAGGCCAAGGGAAAGTTAAGAAACAGTTGATTGAAGCTGTCCAATGGCCACAAATTTGTCCTGATGCTTTTAAACGTATAGGAATTCGTCCACCGAGGGGATTGCTAATGATTGGACCTCCAGGTTGTAGTAAGACCTTGACAGCCCGTGCGGTAGCTTCAGAAGCAAAGCTGAATTTTCTTGCTGTTAAGGGCCCTGAACTTTTCAGCAAATGGGTTGGAGAGTCTGAGAAGGCCGTCAGATCTTTATTTGCAAAGGCAAGAGCTAATTCTCCTGCTATAATATTCTTTGATGAGTTAGATGGGCTTGCAGTATCTCGCGGCCAGGAAAGCGATGGAACTTCCGTTGCTGATAGGGTTCTAAGTCAATTGCTTGTTGAAATGGATGGTATGTGCTTGTTTTTCAATGAATCCATTGATTCTCCAGAAACTTGTCTTTATTTTCTTTATTTTTATAAATATATCTTTGGTTTAATGCATTCTTCCTTTGATTAAGAAGAGCAGTGTCATGTAGTTCTTGCATGCTATCTTATGGTTATTGTTTGATTGACATCAAAAGAAAAGTTAGGCATAATTTTTTGTCATTTCTTTTATCTCGACTCCAAAGTGCTGTTTTGCATTGTGTAACTTTACGGTTTAGCTGACACGAGACTTCCTACATTACCATTTCCTTTTACATAATTTGATTATTCATCTTCTTATTCACAATGGTCACTGTAGGTCTGGACCAAAGAGTTGGTGTTACTGTTATTGCAGCCACTAATCGCCCTGACAAGATTGACCCTGCTCTTTTAAGACCGGGTATTTCCGTGACTTGTTCCCTTCTCTTTATTGACTTGTCTTTCTAAGATCTAGTTGTGCAATAACTGAATATTGATAAATGTACAATCAAACAGGGCGCTTTGACAGGCTAATAGATGTCCAACCACCAGATGAAAATGACCGAGAAGATATTTTCCGCATTCATACGAGGAACATACCTGGCTCATCCTGATGTCACAGGAGAAGCTTGCCCGACTTACTGAAGGCTACACTGGTGCTGATATAAAGTTAATATGCAGAGAAGCAGCTATATCTGCACTAGAAGTATGGTGATGCATTCCTCCCTCTAAATTCGATTATCCTTGGTGTATCATTGGACAATCCTTCTATACAGTTGATTCAGGATAACCTGTTAGAAATTGGAGCAACAAAATTATAAAAAATCTACTGAGATGTTTTCTGAAATCGTACCTTAAAATTGTAAACACTATTATCCTTCTCTTTCTCCTTCCTATATAGTACACGCACATGCTTGCAATTGCATCCAACACGTCTCTCTTCATGCATTTACATGCATGTGTTTTCGTATGTTTTCCTCTTAAAATTATATGTGCTATTCGAGTAAACTGATTACGAGAAGTAGGCAATTCCTGCCCTCCCATCCGAAAATGTGTGCTTGATTTAATATTGTCCAGTTTTAGTATAACCTGCTACAACTGTTTGTTTTTCATGCTTAACTTTCTTGAAATTTTGATGAAACTTCCATTGCTGCCTTTTTTTTACCTTAAATGAAATTCTTTTAATCTTTTACTGCATTTTTTTCATGATAAGGTAGCATTTTTTTTATTCTTATCATCTTTATTCATTTTCCCCCGTTAAACCCTATTAACTTAATCCTCTAGTACTAGTAGGCATACTTCTTTGCCTCATTTTCTAAAATTGAGCAACCAGCACTTTTAACACAAATCTTTCTCAATATTCTCATCTTTACCAACCAGTTGGTTTCCTAGTTTCATAGTTCTGAGTCACAACGAAATCTAGTAAACCTTAATTATCTACTGCTTTAGACTTGCTGGCCTGTATGAGAACGTAATTAAGAGCATATCTGCATCATCTGGGGTCACTTCTTGCTGTAACGCTTTCCTATAAATTTGTGCTTCCTCAGGAGAGTTTAGAAACTTCAGAGATATCCATGAAGCATTTCAAGATTGGAATTGGGAGGGTACATCCATCAGATGCCCAATTTTACAGGGAACTTGCAACCCACTTCCGGAGGATTGTGGACAGTGGATCTCCAAGGGATGGATAATGCAAAACTGAAACTTCCAGCTATTATCTTGTCAATACAATCCTCAACACCGGAATTCAGTGGTCATAACAGCATTTCTTGCTTATTCTAGACGTGGAAGAGTGGCAAATTGATGAAATTCCACTTGTGTTACTCTCTAATTATGATCTTAATTTAAAGGAGAAGGTACGAACCGTACGATGACTCTGCTACAGATTATGGTTTGTTTGACAATATTATTTTGGCTAAATTATCAAATTGGTATATTTGGAATGCATTTAGCGACAGATTGGCACTTTTAAAAACTTCAGCGACCGATAGGTATGCTTAACTGGACTTGTGTCTCAAATTGGTACATTTTTCTCGTCACCGGCGAAAAGACAAGTCGGCACTGGTCATGTGCAGGTCATGTGTGGGCTTTTAAGTTAATTGTAGGCCGATGTGGCGGAGATTAGTGATATGGCATTCTTCTGGTGGGTTTTTAACTACCCTCAAGCCTTAAAAATAGCCAAATACACCCTTTTGACAATTTCCTACAAAATTTTGAGCAATATTGGATGTGGAAATGGGGGCGATTTTTCTTCTTCCTTCGATGTCTTCTTCTTTCTTCACATCTGACATTCTGTCTCCTTCATAGATAATCTCACAATTGCCATTGTGATCTCTCGCGCTCTCTCTCCCTCACCCCCTCAAAATTTTGGGGTGAAATTGGCAAAAGGGTGTATTTGGCTACTTTTAGGGATTGAGGTTAGTTAGAAACCCACCATAAGAGTGCCGCATCACTAATCCCTGCCACATCAGCCTATTATTAAAACAAAAACCCACACATGATTTGCACATGACTAGTTCCGACTGTGTTTTGGCCGGCGGCTAGAAAAATGTACCAATTTGACGCATGAGTTCCGCTAAAAACACCTATTTGTCACCAGAGTTTCTAAAAATACCAATCTGTCACTAAGTGCGTTGCAAGTATACTAATTTGGTAGTTTAACCCTATTACTCTCTTTGTTACCAGTTTCATTCTAGTCTTATATGCAACATCTGACAATATTACTATTGTCCAGGATGATCGTGGTAGCGGCCAAGGTACTGCTCATCAGGCCATGTTTCGTCGCCAAGAGATTTGTGATTGATCCCTCCACTGGCTGCATGACTGTGCTGATAGTTCATTACTACAGTCGGACGAATTTCCTCTTTTGTGTGCGCAATTATATCACTATTTTTCTTTATTTTTGCTGGAAATATTTGTTGTAGAATACAGGATTGAGATCTTTCCTTCTCATTCAACCTCAGCTTTGGTTGGCTGTAAATTAAGTTTTGAAAGAATTAGGAACTTGATATTTCTGTTCTTTATTGTAAAAGCTGTCGTTTATATTCACTCTTTTGGCCATAGATGAGAATGATTGTGCACTATTGAATCTCACGGAAAACTCATTTTTTATGGTGATTCACATTGACTTGTTTAATAATTTTATCTCCTTAAAGAACGTCCACCAATAAATTCCAATCCCTTTGCAACAAATTCCTGAATACTCAGAAAGATTAAACTGCTGAGCTTAGCAATATCTTATGGAAGTAACATGTTACATGTCTAAATCAAACTGAACTCTTTGTCAAGAAACAATTTCAAGAAGCGACGACGTGATCTGTAACAAAACTATCAATACAAACATCACATCACCTATATATCATATACAAAATTTCCACACATTTCTTAAGAAACATTTTCAACACTTGAACTTTCACCCTCCACCTTCAATTCAACTTGGACTTCAGGAGCTGCACTTGCATCACCTTCAGCCTGCACATTTGACGCAATCTCAGGTTCGGAAGGAGCAGAAGCCTCTATGGCCGGAGAACTCTGAGGCTCAGAAATAACTGCAGCCTCTACAATACTTGCAGGCTTGAACTTGCCGATGTAGTAACTGAGTGGTGGTCCAGAGTACTCTGTACTCTGAACTTGAGGTGCATTTTTGCCGACTTGGAGAAGAATTGAGGATGCTGCAGCGACTGATATTAGAGCTAAACCAGCGGCGATGGCTGCAGTGTTCTCTGCTCCTGATGATGATGTGCCTGCTGATCCAGAACTTATCGCACTTTCCGCTATATAGACTGCTGGCTGCACGAGGAAGGGGGAAGAGGGGGAACAGGAGAATTTATGCACTAAAAGAATATACATGCTAAGAAGAAATCCTCCAAAATTTTGAGACTATGGAAGAAGGATCTTAAAACTATGTATGTCGATGTCCTGACAGATTCTGATCTTCTTCTGGCAATGAAGTGTCAATTCTTATTTAGATATCGTGCTTCATTATAAATCTAACAGTAATCCTACCCCCACATGATTTGTGCTAATTTATGCTTTGACCTCAGATAATCGCGACTATCAACTAAATAACCTCGGGGTTGTGGTTTAGGAAGCGCATCATCTTCAGTCAGAAAACATAGAGATGTCATTCAAACGTAATATGAATCTATAATAGACACTGAAATAAGTTTTCATGATCCATGTAAGTTATTTCACAAATTTGCGCATAAAAATGTTTTGTGAAAACGAACCTCAACAGAATAAATGTTGGTTTGGCCAGCAGTATCCTTCTCAACGTAACCAGTCCACCCCTTCTTTTTCGGTGGGTAAGTTCCGGCTACCATCGTCTTCTCTCCTGCTAACCATTCCATACTCACCCTTCCTACCTGCACAAAAAAACTTACATGCGTTAGTTATACACTTACACTCATGTAGAAAATATCAAACTCCAAACAACGCCGACGATTAGTAATTTACGGGTAAAACCCCTGCGCGTTTAACCATTTATATCCCCATAAACTATCTTATTAGCACTTACACTTTGTGACTTCATACAACACTGTTTCTTTTAGTAATTTACGGGTAATAACCTTGCGCGCTTAACCATTTATATCCCCATAAACTATCTTATTAGCACTTACACTTTGTGACTTCATACAACACTGTTTTTCTTTTAGTAATTTACGGGTAATAACCTTGCGCGCTTAACCATTTATATCCCCATAAACTATCTTATTAGCACTTACACTTTGTGACTTCATACAACACTGTTTCTTTTAGTAATTTACGGGTAATAACCCTGCGTGTTTAACCATTTATATCCCCATAAACTATCTTATTAGCACTTACACTCTGTGACTTCATACAACACTGTTTCTTTTAGTAATTTACGGGTAATAACCCTGCGCGTTTAACCATTTATATCCCCATAAACTATCTTATTAGCACTTACACTCTGTGACTTCATACAACACTGTTTCTTTTAGTAATTTACGGGTAATAACCCTGCGCGTTTAACCATTTATATCCCCATAAACTATCTTATTAGCACTTACACTCTGTGACTTCATACAACACTGTTTCTTTTATTTTTTCTCTTTGGTTTGGTTGAGATATCATGTGGGCATCCTGTGATGATAAATTGCCTTTTTCCCTTTCGTTCAATTAAAGAACTAAACTGTTCTCTAAATTAATGAAGGACATAAAGGAATATTTCCTATGGTTCAGACAGTGAAGTGTTAATAAAATAGCATATGAGTTATAAGTTATACACCATTACAGTGCAAGGTAGGCATCTATAATTAAACCTGGCTTTAATGAACTCTAGCTAGCACTTGTAGTCACACCTAGCAATTTTAGAGAAGAACGCGGAAAACTTTATAATTAAATATTTTTAGAGAGACATTCAGTAAAATATGCTAGGATGGATGAGCTCCTGGAAATTTCTCACTTGGTGTACGATGTAACCTTAGAAAGATTGTAACTTTTAAAGACAGGGTATCTACATCTACAACAGTAAAAATATAAAACTTTAATATACATTAAAGATTAGGACCAACAAATTTCATATCGTCAATAATCAATAAAATAACACACCCATATAATTTGCTAATGAAATGAACAAAATGACCGACCAAAAAAAAAAAAAAAAAGAAACTCAGCATACAGAATCTAAGAATACGAAAGCTGAAAATTTTCGGGTAAATATAGAAACATGAAAGAGTAAACGACCTCTTTCTCAGGGGCACATTCTTCCGCATTGCAATCCTCTTCAGAGTTGGATGAATCAGAAGCACTCACTGAGAAAAGCTTGGTGTTTGCTCTCAACCATCTGGGCTTCTTTAGACTAATTTTTTGAGATGGGAACGGATAGCTGTATGCAGAAATCATAGATTGAGAAGCACAAGCCATTGGGGAGCTAGAAAATCCTATGACAAACCCTCTTAATTCTCTTGTTTTCTTCTTCTCTTTTTCTTGCTTTTTTCCCCCCAGTTTTTTTGGTTGGTGGTGGGAGAGGGAGAAGAAAATCTTGAGTCGAGTTCTGTGGCTGGTTTTGGATTTGGTTTGTTCTATCCACAGTTTTTTTACGTGAGGGTCAATTTGACTGGAAAAAGATCATGTAGCTAGGATACCCTCTAGGTAAAAAAAATCGTAATTAAATAGAGCAGTAAAAACATCAAGGGGAGCACTTTTGGCAGGCTTTCTGACCAACCCCCAATGCCAAATACATCAACCAAACAGCCCCCAATTGATGATAGCATTGTTTTTTGTATTATATATACTGGTTTTACTTTTTCACAGTATTGATCTTACTTTCTCATTCATTTCCTCCCCCCCAAAAAATGTGATCCTTACTTTTTATAGGTTTTCCCTGCACAAAGCTCTAGTTTTATTTTACTTTTCAATTTAACTCAACGTCTTAAGCACTGCTAAAATGATACTGAAGTTAATCTACTTAGGTTTGTCCCTTTTTTTAGGGGACTTGCACAAGTTGTTGCTAAATATATTTTCTTGATTATTATAACTTGCCAATGAAAATAACAGATTTATAGTTTAGCCAACATAAGAGGAGAAGAAGCTTCTCAAGTTGCATGACCCGGGTCACAAGAGTTTTTTTAATATTTCTACCCAGTGCATTAAGATGGTGGGTAGTTACACTAAATCCCCGAGATATTTCTGCGTTTTGCAGTGAACCCCCGATAACTTTCAAAATCACACTAAGCCTCCAAGAACTTTCAGTAATTTGTAGTGAACTCTTAATAACTTTTGCCAAAAAAAAAACCCTCGGAGTTCACATAGTTACATTTGACGTAGCGCATACAACTCGCGTTACTTAAAAAGACCACAATAGCCCTCAAATTATTTAAACACCCTGATGACATTTATAAAATTTGAACTCTAAAAACAAAAATCTCTCATCTTTTGTCATTCGTTCTCCTCTTGTTGGCGTCTAGGTTGGGATCCCAAACCTTAGTTGTTTTTTATTTTTTTACTCCTTTAAAATGCTCTTTTTTGTTTTTTTTTGTTTTAATTTAATGTGGTAATCTACACTACGCGGAAAATTATTGGGGGTTTTCTGCAAATCCAAAACTTATTGGGTATTTAGTGTGATTTTAATAGTTATTGGGTGTTTACTACAAAATGCTGAAAGGCTATGTGATTTTGAAAATTATTGGATAATTATTGCAAAATTGTAAAAGTTCTTGGGGTTTAGTGTAATTTATTTACCCTTAAGATTTCTTCCTTGCCTAGAGATTGTACAACTGCTTTTTTCTTCTGTAGTTTTTAGGTAAAAATATATTTCTAATTTAAAAGGCAACATCATGTCATCCATAGGATCTCGATAACTTGCGGCCTGAATTTACTTCAAGAATTCCTGCGTAGACATCGTATGATACCTTTGGGCTACAGTAGCACTGGGTTTATGTTGAAAATAGACGTCGGGTCAAGTGTTGAAATCACTTTCTTTAAGTAATGTTATGCCGCGAGGTGAAGTCTTTCGCATCTAGGGCATTTGGTCTAGTGGTATGATTCTCGCTTTGGGTGCGAGAGGTCCCGAGTTCGATTCTCGGAATGCCCCAATTTTAATCATTTTTAGTGTATTTTCGGCATAAATTCCCCGCATCGTTCGTATTTATAACTTAGTATCCCAAATCTTTATATTTTGCACTAGTCCCTAAAATCTTTTAACTGTCTTAAACTTAGTCCTTCTAGTTAGCACGACGTCTTCATATTTAGAAATCAGTCTCTCAAATCTTTATATTTTGAAATTAATCTCTCATAAGTACTTTAAAATTAGTCCTTCTAGTTAGCACGAGGTTGAAAGATTTGACAGACTGATTTCAAAACCATTAGCACATTTGGGGGGCTAATTTCAAAATATGGAGATCAAGTAGACTAATTTTAAAACACTTAAATATTACATAGACTAATTTTAAAATATAAAGATTAGGGGTACTAATTCAAAATATAACAAGATTTGGGAACTGATATTGAAAAAGCCCCTTTTTTAATCCACAACAACCATTATATGTGTGAGATTATGCTTAGAAAAATCATTAACTCAACGTGCTAATCGAAATATAGACAACTTTTCCCAAGAAACTGAACGCAACTTTTCAAGTTTTTAACGCTTCCCGTGACTAAACAAGTGTATTCGGGATTACGTTTGCTTCTTTTTTAAGAAAAATAATCAAATACTATATACACACATGAAGTTTGGATAATGAAAGTATTAGAAGTAAGAAGTAGGTTATAGAAGTAACTTTTAAAGCTATGAAGTAGGAAGTAGTGGAAATAGTATTTTTTTTGTTTGTTTCATATATTTTTAGAAGTAATGGAAGTAGAACTTCTTCCTTTTCATTTACTTGTTTTGTTTGGATAACATTTGAAAATATTATTAGGAAGTAACTTTATCAATGAAAAGTTGTTAGAAGTAACTAATAAAGAAAATATTAATAAAAAAATTATTTATGTCATAATTAATATGCATTTCAACTACTTCCGAGCTACTTCTGAGTATTGAGGATTGGAAAAATATTTTGGAAGTAAGGATGACACATAGGCGCCACATAAGCATTTAGGGAAGTATTGGAAGTAAGTTTTTTAGAGAACCAAACACACTTTTTTGCTTGAAAGTAACAAAATAGCCTCTACTTCTTTTACTTCAGCTACTTCACAATTACTTCCGTGCAAACAAACAGGCCCTTAGAAAAATTTCCCAATGACCCAAAATATATGACCAACAAGGGGGACAACTGATGTGTCCTCCTATTGCATAATGAGCTGGCCATCATTAATGATGACCAGCTCATTATGCAATAGGAGAGGAACACATCATCTGTTCCCTGTTGTTCCTATATTTTGGATCCCTATACTAAAACTCTTCAATTTAATAAGATTTCCACTTATTATTCCACAATTAATTAGTGTTGGTGTTGATGTTAGTATGGGGTGAAGAGAATGGGCATTCCTCCCTCATATCCCATCCATTCATCCCACTCATCCCATTCATCTTCGTCAACACCGTGTTCTTTAAATTGATCATCTTCTTCTTCAAACTCGGCCATTAAATTCTGCAGAACAAAAAACAATTTCACGATAATAAAAAAAACATTTCATTAAGGTGCATGGATCAAGATGAAGAAGATAATTGTGACAATGTAAATTCACAACGACTAGTGATCAAAGTAGCAATTTCTGTTTTTTTTTTGTTCCTTACCTCGTAGGCGAATTTGATCTCTTTGAATGCTTCTGTCTTTTCTTGTCCTCCCATATCCCCTCTTCTTACAACGTCGGGATGATACTGTAAATTGAAGGAGCGTGAATGAATGCAGAATCAATTAATAATTAAAAAAATTCCCCAATGACCCAAAATATGGGACCAACATGGGGGACATATGAGTTGCTCCCCTTCTATTACAGTATTACATAATGAGCTGGCCTCACTATCATTAATGATGATCAGCTCATTATGCAATAGGAGGGGTGCACCACACCTGTCCTCCTATGTTGATCCCATATTTTGGGTCCCTGTAGCAAAGCTCTTAATAATTACCAAAATCAAAACTATTAAAAAGAGTTAATTACACAGTTTTTTGGTATAAATGCCTATGAACTTTCAAAATCACATTAAACCCCCAATAACTTATAAAGGAAAACCCCAATATCTTTTGGGTAAATTACACTAAACCACCAGTAACTTTCAAAATGTCTTTTATGTTGTTTTTTTAGTTCTAGTTATCGGGGTTATCTGTGAAATACATAATCTTATTGGGGGTTTTCTGTGAACCAGAAAAGATATTTGAAGTTTAGCCCGGTCTTGAAGGTTCATAGGTGTTTATTGTAAAATGCTAAAAGTTCATGTGGTTTAGTGTAATTTATGCTTAATATTCACAAATTTTAATAGCATATCTGCTTTATCAAATATTACCCTTTTTATCAACCCCCAAAAAAATTGCATGTATGTATTTATCATCTGTAGCAGCAATATCCAACATTTTTAAGCACAAAACATGCACTTACCTTCAAGGCCAATCTCTTGTACGCGTTCTTGACTTCAACTTTAGAAGCAGAAGGAGCGAGTCCTAACGTGGCATAATCGCCGGGGATCGCCATCAATCTCACCTGAATTCTCAATTTCTGGCGAACCTCCGGCGACCTTGAGAAGAAGCGGCCGCCGTCTCGGAAACCACGAGGCGTTGCAACCTTATTCATTTTAGTGTTGCTACCCCCTTAATTCTTCTGATATTGGGCTTGAAAGTTAATTTGCTTTTTGGGGAGGAGGGAGAAGGGGGTAGAAATTAAGAAAGTTTGTGAAAATTAATAACAAGTACCTACTGGCTAGTTTTATTTTTATCATGGCTCACTTTTGGCCACCTAACGCAAAATTTGGTGCGTGATGGGGACACGGAAGCGCCCGAGAGGAGGATGAGGTGAGGTCTGTCCGAAAATTTGGAATATGCCCATGCGCTCATGTCGTCTACCGAATTGGCTCTGTCTTCTAAAATTCGTCAATTTGTTCTCTTCTTCAAGTGAACTTTTTGATTTGTTTTCGCATTTGGATTATTAGAAATCACATACGATATCCTATTTGATAATATATGAAATCTATGTTAGATCTACATCAAAACTTGAGATCTAAAACCATATAGCCATGATTAATTCAAAGAGATTAACAAGGATCTAAAAGAGCGGAAGCTTATACCTGAATCCATTGCTTGATCTTGATTTTGGGTGTTGGATCTTCTAACCTTAGGGTTCTCTCTAAAACCGAATTTCTCTAGCTAGATGGGGGTGTAGAGAATTAGAGAATGTAACCCTAGGTTAGGGACCATAACTCCTTATTTATAGATGTTGTACTTTTGTAATTTAGCCCCTCAATAAATTACAATTACAAAGGTTCGTCTGAAGTACGAACGCGAGGTTCGTCTGAAGTACGAACGCGAGGTTCGTCTGAAGTACGAACGCGAGGTTCGTCTGAAGTACGAACGCGAGGTTCGTCTGAAGTACGAACGCGAGGTTCGTCTGAAGTACGAACGCGAGGTTCGTCTGAAGTACGAACGCGAGGTTCGTCTGAAGTACGAACGCGAGGTTCGTCTGAAGTACGAACGCGAGGTTCGTCTGAAGTACGAACGCGAGGTTCGTCTGAAGTACGAACGCGAGGTTCGTCTGAAGTACGAACGCGAGGTTCGTCTGAAGTACGAACGCGAGGTTCGTCTGAAGTACGAACGCGAGGTTCGTCTGAAGTACGAACGCGAGGTTCGTCTGAAGTACGAACGCGAGGTTCGTCTGAAGTACGAACGCGAGGTTCGTCTGAAGTACGAACGCGAGGTTCGTCTGAAGTACGAACGCGAGGTTCGTCTGAAGTACGAACGCGAGGTTCGTCTGAAGTACGAACGCGAGGTTCGTCTGAAGTACGAACGCGAGGTTCGTCTGAAGTACGAACGCGAGGTTCGTCTGAAGTACGAACGCGAGGTTCGTCTGAAGTACGAACGCGAGGTTCGTCTGAAGTACGAACGCGAGGTTCGTCTGAAGTACGAACGCGAGGTTCGTCTGAAGTACGAACGCGAGGTTCGTCTGAAGTACGAACGCGAGGTTCGTCTGAAGTACGAACGCGAGGTTCGTCTGAAGTACGAACGCGAGGTTCGTCTGAAGTACGAACGCGAGGTTCGTCTGAAGTACGAACGCGAGGTTCGTCTGAAGTACGAACGCGAGGTTCGTCTGAAGTACGAACGCGAGGTTCGTCTGAAGTACGAACGCGAGGTTCGTCTGAAGTACGAACGCGAGGTTCGTCTGAAGTACGAACGCGAGGTTCGTCTGAAGTACGAACGCGAGGTTCGTCTGAAGTACGAACGCGAGGTTCGTCTGAAGTACGAACGCGAGGTTCGTCTGAAGTACGAACGCGAGGTTCGTCTGAAGTACGAACGCGAGGTTCGTCTGAAGTACGAACGCGAGGTTCGTCTGAAGTACGAACGCGAGGTTCGTCTGAAGTACGAACGCGAGGTTCGTCTGAAGTACGAACGCGAGGTTCGTCTGAAGTACGAACGCGAGGTTCGTCTGAAGTACGAACGCGAGGTTCGTCTGAAGTACGAACGCGAGGTTCGTCTGAAGTACGAACGCGAGGTTCGTCTGAAGTACGAACGCGAGGTTCGTCTGAAGTACGAACGCGAGGTTCGTCTGAAGTACGAACGCGAGGTTCGTCTGAAGTACGAACGCGAGGTTCGTCTGAAGTACGAACGCGAGGTTCGTCTGAAGTACGAACGCGAGGTTCGTCTGAAGTACGAACGCGAGGTTCGTCTGAAGTACGAACGCGAGGTTCGTCTGAAGTACGAACGCGAGGTTCGTCTGAAGTACGAACGCGAGGTTCGTCTGAAGTACGAACGCGAGGTTCGTCTGAAGTACGAACGCGAGGTTCGTCTGAAGTACGAACGCGAGGTTCGTCTGAAGTACGAACGCGAGGTTCGTCTGAAGTACGAACGCGAGGTTCGTCTGAAGTACGAACGCGAGGTTCGTCTGAAGTACGAACGCGAGGTTCGTCTGAAGTACGAACGCGAGGTTCGTCTGAAGTACGAACGCGAGGTTCGTCTGAAGTACGAACGCGAGGTTCGTCTGAAGTACGAACGCGAGGTTCGTCTGAAGTACGAACGCGAGGTTCGTCTGAAGTACGAACGCGAGGTTCGTCTGAAGTACGAACGCGAGGTTCGTCTGAAGTACGAACGCGAGGTTCGTCTGAAGTACGAACGCGAGGTTCGTCTGAAGTACGAACGCGAGGTTCGTCTGAAGTACGAACGCGAGGTTCGTCTGAAGTACGAACGCGAGGTTCGTCTGAAGTACGAACGCGAGGTTCGTCTGAAGTACGAACGCGAGGTTCGTCTGAAGTACGAACGCGAGGTTCGTCTGAAGTACGAACGCGAGGTTCGTCTGAAGTACGAACGCGAGGTTCGTCTGAAGTACGAACGCGAGGTTCGTCTGAAGTACGAACGCGAGGTTCGTCTGAAGTACGAACGCGAGGTTCGTCTGAAGTACGAACGCGAGGTTCGTCTGAAGTACGAACGCGAGGTTCGTCTGAAGTACGAACGCGAGGTTCGTCTGAAGTACGAACGCGAGGTTCGTCTGAAGTACGAACGCGAGGTTCGTCTGAAGTACGAACGCGAGGTTCGTCTGAAGTACGAACGCGAGGTTCGTCTGAAGTACGAACGCGAGGTTCGTCTGAAGTACGAACGCGAGGTTCGTCTGAAGTACGAACGCGAGGTTCGTCTGAAGTACGAACGCGAGGTTCGTCTGAAGTACGAACGCGAGGTTCGTCTGAAGTACGAACGCGAGGTTCGTCTGAAGTACGAACGCGAGGTTCGTCTGAAGTACGAACGCGAGGTTCGTCTGAAGTACGAACGCGAGGTTCGTCTGAAGTACGAACGCGAGGTTCGTCTGAAGTACGAACGCGAGGTTCGTCTGAAGTACGAACGCGAGGTTCGTCTGAAGTACGAACGCGAGGTTCGTCTGAAGTACGAACGCGAGGTTCGTCTGAAGTACGAACGCGAGGTTCGTCTGAAGTACGAACGCGAGGTTCGTCTGAAGTACGAACGCGAGGTTCGTCTGAAGTACGAACGCGAGGTTCGTCTGAAGTACGAACGCGAGGTTCGTCTGAAGTACGAACGCGAGGTTCGTCTGAAGTACGAACGCGAGGTTCGTCTGAAGTACGAACGCGAGGTTCGTCTGAAGTACGAACGCGAGGTTCGTCTGAAGTACGAACGCGAGGTTCGTCTGAAGTACGAACGCGAGGTTCGTCTGAAGTACGAACGCGAGGTTCGTCTGAAGTACGAACGCGAGGTTCGTCTGAAGTACGAACGCGAGGTTCGTCTGAAGTACGAACGCGAGGTTCGTCTGAAGTACGAACGCGAGGTTCGTCTGAAGTACGAACGCGAGGTTCGTCTGAAGTACGAACGCGAGGTTCGTCTGAAGTACGAACGCGAGGTTCGTCTGAAGTACGAACGCGAGGTTCGTCTGAAGTACGAACGCGAGGTTCGTCTGAAGTACGAACGCGAGGTTCGTCTGAAGTACGAACGCGAGGTTCGTCTGAAGTACGAACGCGAGGTTCGTCTGAAGTACGAACGCGAGGTTCGTCTGAAGTACGAACGCGAGGTTCGTCTGAAGTACGAACGCGAGGTTCGTCTGAAGTACGAACGCGAGGTTCGTCTGAAGTACGAACGCGAGGTTCGTCTGAAGTACGAACGCGAGGTTCGTCTGAAGTACGAACGCGAGGTTCGTCTGAAGTACGAACGCGAGGTTCGTCTGAAGTACGAACGCGAGGTTCGTCTGAAGTACGAACGCGAGGTTCGTCTGAAGTACGAACGCGAGGTTCGTCTGAAGTACGAACGCGAGGTTCGTCTGAAGTACGAACGCGAGGTTCGTCTGAAGTACGAACGCGAGGTTCGTCTGAAGTACGAACGCGAGGTTCGTCTGAAGTACGAACGCGAGGTTCGTCTGAAGTACGAACGCGAGGTTCGTCTGAAGTACGAACGCGAGGTTCGTCTGAAGTACGAACGCGAGGTTCGTCTGAAGTACGAACGCGAGGTTCGTCTGAAGTACGAACGCGAGGTTCGTCTGAAGTACGAACGCGAGGTTCGTCTGAAGTACGAACGCGAGGTTCGTCTGAAGTACGAACGCGAGGTTCGTCTGAAGTACGAACGCGAGGTTCGTCTGAAGTACGAACGCGAGGTTCGTCTGAAGTACGAACGCGAGGTTCGTCTGAAGTACGAACGCGAGGTTCGTCTGAAGTACGAACGCGAGGTTCGTCTGAAGTACGAACGCGAGGTTCGTCTGAAGTACGAACGCGAGGTTCGTCTGAAGTACGAACGCGAGGTTCGTCTGAAGTACGAACGCGAGGTTCGTCTGAAGTACGAACGCGAGGTTCGTCTGAAGTACGAACGCGAGGTTCGTCTGAAGTACGAACGCGAGGTTCGTCTGAAGTACGAACGCGAGGTTCGTCTGAAGTACGAACGCGAGGTTCGTCTGAAGTACGAACGCGAGGTTCGTCTGAAGTACGAACGCGAGGTTCGTCTGAAGTACGAACGCGAGGTTCGTCTGAAGTACGAACGCGAGGTTCGTCTGAAGTACGAACGCGAGGTTCGTCTGAAGTACGAACGCGAGGTTCGTCTGAAGTACGAACGCGAGGTTCGTCTGAAGTACGAACGCGAGGTTCGTCTGAAGTACGAACGCGAGGTTCGTCTGAAGTACGAACGCGAGGTTCGTCTGAAGTACGAACGCGAGGTTCGTCTGAAGTACGAACGCGAGGTTCGTCTGAAGTACGAACGCGAGGTTCGTCTGAAGTACGAACGCGAGGTTCGTCTGAAGTACGAACGCGAGGTTCGTCTGAAGTACGAACGCGAGGTTCGTCTGAAGTACGAACGCGAGGTTCGTCTGAAGTACGAACGCGAGGTTCGTCTGAAGTACGAACGCGAGGTTCGTCTGAAGTACGAACGCGAGGTTCGTCTGAAGTACGAACGCGAGGTTCGTCTGAAGTACGAACGCGAGGTTCGTCTGAAGTACGAACGCGAGGTTCGTCTGAAGTACGAACGCGAGGTTCGTCTGAAGTACGAACGCGAGGTTCGTCTGAAGTACGAACGCGAGGTTCGTCTGAAGTACGAACGCGAGGTTCGTCTGAAGTACGAACGCGAGGTTCGTCTGAAGTACGAACGCGAGGTTCGTCTGAAGTACGAACGCGAGGTTCGTCTGAAGTACGAACGCGAGGTTCGTCTGAAGTACGAACGCGAGGTTCGTCTGAAGTACGAACGCGAGGTTCGTCTGAAGTACGAACGCGAGGTTCGTCTGAAGTACGAACGCGAGGTTCGTCTGAAGTACGAACGCGAGGTTCGTCTGAAGTACGAACGCGAGGTTCGTCTGAAGTACGAACGCGAGGTTCGTCTGAAGTACGAACGCGAGGTTCGTCTGAAGTACGAACGCGAGGTTCGTCTGAAGTACGAACGCGAGGTTCGTCTGAAGTACGAACGCGAGGTTCGTCTGAAGTACGAACGCGAGGTTCGTCTGAAGTACGAACGCGAGGTTCGTCTGAAGTACGAACGCGAGGTTCGTCTGAAGTACGAACGCGAGGTTCGTCTGAAGTACGAACGCGAGGTTCGTCTGAAGTACGAACGCGAGGTTCGTCTGAAGTACGAACGCGAGGTTCGTCTGAAGTACGAACGCGAGGTTCGTCTGAAGTACGAACGCGAGGTTCGTCTGAAGTACGAACGCGAGGTTCGTCTGAAGTACGAACGCGAGGTTCGTCTGAAGTACGAACGCGAGGTTCGTCTGAAGTACGAACGCGAGGTTCGTCTGAAGTACGAACGCGAGGTTCGTCTGAAGTACGAACGCGAGGTTCGTCTGAAGTACGAACGCGAGGTTCGTCTGAAGTACGAACGCGAGGTTCGTCTGAAGTACGAACGCGAGGTTCGTCTGAAGTACGAACGCGAGGTTCGTCTGAAGTACGAACGCGAGGTTCGTCTGAAGTACGAACGCGAGGTTCGTCTGAAGTACGAACGCGAGGTTCGTCTGAAGTACGAACGCGAGGTTCGTCTGAAGTACGAACGCGAGGTTCGTCTGAAGTACGAACGCGAGGTTCGTCTGAAGTACGAACGCGAGGTTCGTCTGAAGTACGAACGCGATAAAAATGATAAAAATGAACGCGAGGTTCAACTGAAGTACGAACGCGAGGTTCGTCTGAAGTACGAACGTCTGAAGTTCGAACGCGAGGCTCGACTGAAGTACGAACGCGAGGTTCGTCTGAAGTACGAACGCGAGGTTCGTCTGAAGTTCGAACGCGAGGTTCGTCTGAAGTTCGAACGCGAGGCTCGACTGAAGCGAGGTTCGTTAAAAAATTGAGCTTGACGCTCACCTGAGTTGAACGCGAGGTTCACCTTAGAACGAACGCGAGGTTCGTTAAAATTGAGCTTGACGCTCACCTGAGTTGAACGCGAGGTTCACCTTAGAACGAACGCGAGGTTCGTTAAAATTGAGCTTGACGCTCACCTGGTTGAACGCGAGGTTCACCTTGGGAACGAACGCGAGGTTCGTTGAAATTGAGCTTGACGCTCACCTGAGTTGAACGCGAGGTTCACCTTAGAACGAACGCGAGGTTCGTTAAAATTGAGCTTGACGCTCACCTGAGTTGAACGCGAGGTTCACCTTAGAACGAACGCGAGGTTCGTTGAGCGCGAAGCTCGGTTAAAATTGAACGAACGCGAGGTTCGTTTGAGGTAACCACCTCCTTAATTTTCGCCATGAACCCTTAGGGTTTCAAATTGAAACCGCGCCGCCAACAAACCCAAAACCTTTGATTTTTATTTTCAAAACAGATCCAGAATTGGAAAAAATTGAAGGAAAAATCAAAGAAAAATCCAAAAAATTCCCAAAAGTTACTGTTAATCCGAAAAAATGCTTTACTGTTCACCCGGAAAAAAAATTTCGTTACTGTTCACCGAACATTACTGTTCATCCGAACCCAAAAATTGAATCTTTAACCAGAGATTTAAGATCAAAAACCCAATAAAACTTAAATCCCTAAGAATTAATCAAGGTGGCTCTGATACCACTTGTTAGATCTACATCAAAACTTGAGATCTAAAACCATATAGCCATGATTAATTCAAAGAGATTAACAAGGATCTAAAAGAGCGGAAGCTTATACCTGAATCCATTGCTTGATCTTGATTTTGGGTGTTGGATCTTCTAACCTTAGGGTTCTCTCTAAAACCGAATTTCTCTAGCTAGATGGGGGTGTAGAGAATTAGAGAATGTAACCCTAGGTTAGGGACCATAACTCCTTATTTATAGATGTTGTACTTTTGTAATTTAGCCCCTCAATAAATTACAATTACAACCTGGTATCTGCACATATAACCCCATGACTTATTTAAATACCAAATTAACCCAACTTAATTGATCACTTTAATGGGTTATCCTGAAAGATAGAAATACACATTGATTAATCATATGTGCCCACAAATAGATTTATTAGATTAAATCCAACAATCTAAAGATATAATTTACTTTTACTGGATTTAATTTATGCTTAGTACTTCTTGGCTTGGTAGTGTCAATAGTAGGTTCTGACCATTAACGGAACGTGAAGATAAGAACTTAATTGTAGTACTAGAAGAGATATTTGACTAAACTTACCACTATTTGTTCAATGCGGCTGAACATATATAGACCACAATCATAATCAATACTATCTTTATTTCAAATACAACTATCAAAATTTACATAAGTATTATCATTAGAAAGTCATCAAAATATTGATAAGAGAACCACATCTGTTACATTGAGCATCTTAATTTACATCAATAAAATAACAGAAAGAAGGATTAGAAAACATAGATACATTTATTTGTAAATCTAAGAAATAATATGGTTTCTTCTATCTTTCCCCTCTTTGCTCAGGTGTTAGCCCTCCTTTCCCACAACTGGGGCAGCTCTTCATTCCAAATCCTTGGCAATCAAAACACCTAATAAAGAAATACATCAACAAAGAAAACACCCAAAAGCTAATTACCAACATTGGATCTAAAGTCTGTGATAAATATCTTGCTGCTTATAGTTGCAAAAATTAATAACAAATTTTTTTAGTGTGCCCTTTGGTAAGTATTGAGCACGTTAGGCATACATGTGGATTGTTCCACAAAAGAGAGAACGAAACTTACTTCCATCTTTCAAAAATGTTTCCATTCTTCCTGTTCTTTCCAGTTCCCTGAACTCCAAAAAAAAGAGAGCAAACTATAATGAATGAATTTTCGATTAATGTTTTCTGAATAATAGGAATCTATATAGATAAATCTTGAAAATAAGATTGGCTACAGAATACATATACATGAGAATAAGATTGGCTGGAAAATAGGAAACAAATCTAGAGCCTAAATTAACGTGGAGTAGAAACTCTAATCCATTATGTTAAACTAGTGAAAATATATCACTTTTCTATCATAATGGAGATTAATTACATTGCGGTACCCTGAGGTATCGTATATATAATTACACGGGTGATCCTGAAATTTGTGTATCTACACGGGTAAACTTGAGATTGCTAATTGTAATAAGACGGGTGACTCTTGAGACCAAGCGATAAGCAATTCCTAAGGTTACTTGTGTAATACAATCTGTAACCTCAGAGTTAGTCCTGTAGATACACAGGGAAAAAGAAAAAGTTAATCTAGCTCATATTTTTTCATTATTGATTGATTAATGGTGAGTTCTTCTCCCCATAAAATAATTCGAAATGGTGAATATAAACTTGAGAAGTGAGAAGGCCAAAACCTTACACCCCGGACACTCAATCGCACCTTGACCCCGGCAAGTTTTGCAACCCTTTGAAACCTACAAAAATTAATGTCGAATAAGTACCCAAAAAAAAATTTAAACTTTTTGGTTTATCTAATTCTCATTTTCTATTTAAAGCCCATTTTACTCCGACATATAACTCCAAGTTCCCCTTGAAAATATCCATAACAATCAATATATGCACAAATATTTGTACCTGTTTGAAGGGCATCCCTCCTGATCTTGATGCAAAAACTTTCGTGTTAATCTTTGTCCTCATTGCCCATGCATGAGGAGAGTTTTGTGGAGTGATTGGAAATTGGGAGGCCATGAAAATTTCCAAGCTTGAGATTTATATAGACAAGAAGATGTATTAGTTAGAAGCAATTATGGAAAGCTCTCTTGAGATTTTATATAGGCATGTAGTATTTTGTGTTGGAGAGAAATGGAGAGATAATGAGACTGTTGTGTGCCACAAATTTTGGCTTTCCATACATGATCCTAAGAGGAGTCAAAATAAATTGCTCCATAGGTTTTATATAACATCTTCACAAGTATATTCTAAACTTTATCTTTAAAAAAATTTCTATTCTAAACTTACTTTAATATATACATGAAATTAAGTATGTAGTACATGTATGTGTATACCCACGTACACCATGTACAAGTGCCACGTGTTTTCTTAGATTGTCGATCTTGTGTACATGTCATGTATTTATATTCCACTAGTTTTTACACACGTGCAATGCACGTGATTTAATACAATGATTAAGTATTTTTGGCAGTTTGTGCTCATTTTTTTCTTTAAACTCTTACATCCCGATTATTTTTTTATGTTTGTTTAAATGAGATACACCCAATTTAAATTTTCATGTTGATATTTGAATTGACAAAAAACAAATGTAATTTAAAAATAATTTAAATTTTCATATTATTTTTGACCGATATGAAACTAAGCTTTATTTGAGAAAGTATAGCATTGCAAAGTGAAAAATATTAAAATAGTGTTATACAAGGAAGGTGAATATTTAAAACCAATATGGCAAAATGATTGATTTAAAATATGTTAAAACGATGCAAAAGAGAATATGAAGTTTATTCCTAATCATTGATAGACTTCATAAAAAAAATATAAATTAAAGATTAATGCTAACTCTAGTATACTTTTATATGATAAAAACATCCACATAAGAATATAAAAGTACTGAAAAAAAATTCATGAAACTCCCTTCTAAAGATTCCTAATTTCACTCAAAATAATTAAACTATTCTATAAAATATTCATAAAATATTGTTTTTATTTCTTCTATTTTATTTTTTATTGAGTTAAGATCAATCATTCTTCAGGTTTATCATTTATCATTTCTCGGACAATTCTAGAGTATTTTCTTCATCATTTACATCAATTGTGACATCAGGCTAATTTTGTATTTTTTTTATGCTATTATCTTTCCTAGGCTCGTTAATTTTTTATCATCTCATTTAACTTTACAAAGAAGTCAAATGTACTTATGATGTTCAACACAAACTGCTCAAAATATAGACTTTGATTTTTTTTTCTATTTCAATGAGAATAAATATTAATTTTATATATATAAAATTCTTTGTGTTCCTAATTTATTACTTAAATAAATTAGAAGTTATCTCTTTATTTTCCTCTAAAATGAATTCTTCTGATGTGCATCCAATAAAAATTTCTGTTATTTCAATAATATCACCTTTGCTCTATCCCTGTCATTTTCCATAAAGATCTAAACTAAATACCTGCATTATTCATTACCAAATTCTCTTAGATTATAATATTAATATTTAATTTGAAGAACACAGTATGGAATTTATGAATACTTACAAATTTTTTTATGTCTTCCATGGAGATTTTTTCTTTGCTTAGGATAAAAATATTAAATTATTTTTTAATGTAACTCATTCAGTGCTTCATTAATAGATATGTCTTATGTTAATGCCAATTCAAGTGATTCATTGACGTTTTCTGAATTTTAGATTTATTTCCATCACTTTCCCATTTGCAATAGAAATAACTCAATTCTTTTAAAGTTATCTCTAAATATTCTAATAGTTTCTCCATATGTAATTCCTTGTATTCTTTTACCCTATAAATATTATTAACGTCAAAGATTAAAGTTTCTAAATTAAAATCAATTAATGCTAAGGTATAATATTATAGTGTTTTATCATTTCTATGGATTTAAACATCTATCAATTAATGTTACGAATGTATTTTGGCTACCCCAACTTATTACTAAAATTATATGAAATTACTTTAATTTATATAGTGCCGATAATTTTTAATCTATAATATTTTTAAAAATTTTATCCATTAACCGGATGTTTTTAATCAATTCTTATTGTTTTTGTTTACCAGTATCAACTTAGACTATTCTTAGATGCTGAAAATGGATAGTAAATCCCTAAATTAGAAATTTTAATATATATATATATATATATAT